GGTTGCCCAGAGAGGTGGTAGATGCCCCATCCTTGGAAACATTCAAGGACAGGCTGGATGGGGCTCTGAGCAACCTCATCTAGTTGTAGATGTCCCTGCCAATTGCAGGGGGGATGGACTAGATGACCTTTAAAGGTTCCTTCCACCCCAAAGCATTCTGTGATTCTATGATATATAGCATTCTAGTAAAAGAGAATGAGCACTTCAAAATGGACAATTTTGGATAAGAGGGTAATTGAACTGAATATGTACTTACTTATTTGTCAGCTTGAGATTTTAAAGAATTACTTAAAGGAAGCAAAACTTCTGTCTTTTGCTGTGCTCTCACACCACAGTCAATGGTTTGTCTGATACTCCTTTGAGAACAAAATGTGTTCAAGGTTGGTTTAAAATAATTTAATAGGATTCCCTCAGGAGCTGGAAAGCACCAAAGACTGAAACAGTTTGAGCTTCATCAATAAATCACAGAGACATATGTAAGAGCAAGAGAGACTGTGACACAGATGAGATTTATTATAAAAAGATTACAAAGTAATTTGTCGAAAACCTACGTAAATACATAAAACTGTCCCTACAGTTAACAGACTTACTTGTCATTCAAAAGAAAAGGAATAAACACAACTACAAATAAACATTGTGTGGGGAGGCAGTATAATCTGAGTCACTGAAGGCTTTTAAGAACTGGCCAGTGAAAATGTTAGGAATGTGATCTCTGAGATCACTTCCAGCCCTACTTCCTCTTACTCTGTTAAGCCCTGCTTGATTTGGTTTGCCCCTTGCTTTAGTGTATCATAATACTTTATTGTAGATGAACTGTCGGATGTCATAATAAAAAAACCTGAGAACATTGATATGGCATGTCAACAACTTGAAAACAGTGTTTTTCAACTAAAATTTAAATATTTTAAAAGCTACATTACTCCCTATCTTCTGAAGAAAGAATAACTGAATAACTAATAAAATAAATTAAATATTAAATAAAATAATAAAATTGAATAACTAATTTAAAACATCTGAAATGCATTTAAATTTCCCTTAAGTATGCACACCTCTTTTATCATTGAACCCCAAAGCAAAATACTGGGTGAATAATTTAATTCCATCAATAGTTCTTTGCAGGAAATAAATTACACAAATGCAGCAAATAAGCACAATTTTAAAAGAGGTAAGTGAAAGGATCAAGGACCTATAGATGTAATCTGAGGTAGATATAGATGTAAAGCACAACTATTTACATTCTTTTTCTTGATTCTAAATCACAACCTTGTGTTACTTCATCTGTGAAATATTTTCAAGGAAAGGGGTGGGGAGCGAAAGCTGACCTTGAGGCAGGAGATTGAAATAATGACTGTTAATACTGCAAGTATTAAGAATGTTTCACAATCAGATATATAGCTGCATATTAAATGTGGCTGATACTCTAGTTGCAACTATGTTTGCTCAGCTAAGTATCTCTGCACACTGACAAACGAGATACTGCCAACTGGTGTAGTCTTGGCTGACATTGTGGTAAAACAACGGTACTACAAACCAAGAGCTTCTCCTTAATATTTTGAAATAAATCGTTCAATGCTACAAATGAAGAGGAAATGCTCTAATTTACTGAAAGTATCATCTGTTCTAAAAATATTCAAATATTAACATCTTAAAAATATTTTCAATGACAAAACAATACAAAAATAGTAATGAAAACACATGCAATATTAAAAAGGAAAAAGAAGCACGCATTTCCATTAAACATGGGAATTGCTACCATGTATGACAAAACATCATTGTGCACATAAATAGCTTCTGCTGTCAAACTCAAGAGGCTAAATCTGAGAAAGAAAAGTCTCTTCTACTGCTTTACAACTCTACTGCTGATTTAAAGCTGCAGTTTTTCTGAAGTTTAGATGATATTTTTTAATTACCAGACTAACGTAAAGGGAAAAATACCAACAAATTAAAAAAAGTTTCAGCAACAATATTTTTAGAATGTAAGAATAAAGTGTTACAAAGCTAAGTGATCTCTGTATATTAATCAGTGAAAAAGTAAATACACAGGAGCTACCTCATTTTTTTGTAGATATAGAAAAGCAATATTCAGAACATCGTATGGAAACTCTTATTCCTAGATATGAAATAACAAGTTAGCCATATAAATGACATGAATTGCTATTTTATTAACAAATGCAACTTTGGATTAAGTAAAAACACACTTAAATGACAGGTTTTTGTTTAGACTGTCATTTAGATAACGGTGTGACTACTGGTCATCGGCACACAAGCCTTCAATTAACAAAAATTGAGAATACTCAGAAACCACTGATTTTGGTTCTATTATCTACTACTTCAATCTCTAATCAAACTTGAATCTGATTTAGTTTTAACAGTTTGTTTCTTTATAAACTGGCAAAGAAGGACATGATTTTTGTAGGTATATTATAAACTATTCAAATCTCTCCCTCTTCCCCATAAATGATGTATTTTTAAAATTCCTAAAAATAACATACTGCTACAAAATGTAGTATTTCAAATTGTGCTGAAAAGATTCTTAGTAGAATGGCAGTAGTATTCTTCCTTATAATTCCAAGTGTACTGGGTCTGCCTGGGATAGAGTTAATTTTCTTCATGGCAGCCTGTGCTGTATTTTGAATGTGTACCTCAAACGCTGTTGATAACGCAGGGATGTTTTAGCTACTGCTGAGCAGTGCTTGCACAGCA